AATAAAAAGTTTAAAAGAGTACACAAAAGGGTAGTGCATAATAGAGGATAGTTGTAATTGTGAGTATTTCTTTTTTAGATTTTAGCTTAAGTTCATAGAACATATATATAAAAAGTGCAAATGATCATAATAATGATCATTAAGGAAATTGTACATTGTTTTGGACATGAATATCTTCACATGCTTGTAGGGATCTTGACTCTTGAGTTAAATTCTTCCTCTTTCTTTTTTAATTTTTTTTTATTCATATGTAATTTATTGCTCACTATATATATAAAGTTAGGTTATGCAATAATAGTAATTGTCCATGTATTTAAAATCCCATAGTTAATAAAGGCTAGATTTTACTCAAAACTTCCTTTTTGTTTTTGTTTTCCTTGGTGTACCTACAAAATGATACTCTTATATTAAGTGGGTTGGTTTGAATATTTCTTTTTATTATGGTTTGAGACTCAAATTATTCATGTACATTGACATTTTTAGTCACCAAATTGTGAGTTAACCCTACTATCACATTGCCATTAACTAATAACACACATTTCATGGGATGTGGTATAGGTATTATATTATATATATATATGAAGAAAAAGTTACATCATCAAGATGTCCCTATAAAAAGATGCACCTTTATTACTATAAATAGAAAATACGATGGTATTATCAACATATATATATGTGAAATGATATTGACAAGGATTTAAAGCGGTTGTGAAGGGTGATGAGTGGTGGTAAAAAGAAAAGAGTGAGAAGAAACCCTCTTAGATATCCCTATTCCATGATAATCTAAATTATGGGACAACTGACAAGTGATTGGAGTAGGTATCCTAAACAGAGAAAAAAGAAAAGGGCATGAGGGAAAAAAGATTGGAGGAGGGGGCACCTTTGATCACTTTCTTTTATTTTAGTAATTACTACTCTTTTTATGCCATCAGTCCCCCTTATTTATTTATTATTATTACGATAATAAGACACTTTTTCTCTTCCCGAGCCTTTTCTTTTGGTATTACCCACACGTGCGTCTCAAAGTGGAAAGTCTTTGAAAGGCATCTACACAGAAACATCGTTAAATGCTGCTGCTGCTGTTATTTGCCTCTTCTGTTTTGCCAGAGGATTCGCTTAGCAGTAAACAAAACAAACCATGGTAAACAAACACAGATCAAAAGACCACTCCCCCGCCCCACCTTCCTTCCTCTATTTCAACGTTGTCAGGAATGCACGTGTTGCCTCTGTCCGTTTTTGGTCCCCCACCTTTGAATATTGTATTTTCTTTCCACAGTCTAGTGGCCATCCCACGCCTTTTTCTTTCAAGCATATGGCGTTTCATTACTCAGAAAAGATGAAGAAAACAGAAAGGTACATATTCACAGTTCTGAGGTGTGCAACCCCTACCTCATCAGCCAACAACTGGCATCTATCTAGATCTAGGGCAGTCATCAAATGCAGTAATGGAGCCCTTAGCTACAGTAATGGTGAAAATGTCACGGGGCAAATCCTGAGAGCATATCCCTGGGATTTCAATGCATGGTAGTCGAAAATTTTGCTTGTTTTCAAAGGCAAATAGGTAATTTTGAACATAAACAATAAAAACATGTGGAATGAATGATTATTGTTCTTTCATAAATAGCCCAAACAGTGGTGGAATCGAATTGGGGGAAAAAAGGTGATGAAAGCGTTGATACCATAGTGTTCGAGTCGATGAAACTAGGTGTTGAATATCATTATTGAAATTTATTGAAGGGGGGTTGGGGGAGACTGGAGATGGTGGCCTGCAAATGCAATGAGCAGGGAGGACTAAAAACGGCAGGGAAAGTGGGACCGAAGGGCACAGAAAGGGAAAGGATGGAAGGGCCGCACGAGGGGCGCTGAGAATTGGGGTAGCCGCAGTGCGGGGTTGTTTTGTACACTCCCCTTTTATCTCCCCCTGCTTCCCTCCCCAACTTCCCTTTCTTTCCTCTTAAGGATTCTCGCTGTCGGCTGACACATCCATTGACCCACCCACATCATGTCTTGCCCCTTTTCGCATCGCTCTCTCCTCTCTCGTCTCTCGTCTCTCGCTAAGGTTTTATGTTTGATTTCATACTTCTTTTATTACATAAAAAGAACAAAAACGAAAAGCCAATAACAAACTATCAAAATAAACCAAATCTAAACATGTCCTCTTTCTTTCTGTTTAGCTTTTGGCTTTGTTGCTCTCTCATCCCCTTCTCAATTCCTCCCTATGCTTCTCTTCTTATCATATTGACATTCTTTTTAGTCCATGGCCACCTTCAACGAAATAGAGTAGCACCCGAGCCATTAGTACATTACTGTATCTATATCCTTTGGAATGACCCAAAAAAGGAACGGGAACGTGGAGAAGAATCAAATCGTACCAAATTGTTCGAGCTACTTACTGTGTGAGGATAATATTTGAAACCCACTTTATTATTATGCATTGTTCCCAAAGTAAGTGTGCAAGCGTAAAACCAAAGATCCCCTCACTAAAATCATTAAGTGTTGAACTCATGTCACTTGCCTAGTCCCTAATCGTACTCCTAGATTAGGTAGTATCTTTTTCACTGTTTGCTTGGAAGTATATTATCTTTGCATCAGGTTAGCTTTTGTTTGCTTCGTTGTGGAAAACGTGACTAGCACTCCCCTTCACTACCCTCTATAATTAATTTGTCATTACCATAGTCCAAGTTTGGTTTCCTTGTTATTTGAAATTGAGACAAGTTAATGTATGCCTTGGACTCCACTGTGTGAGGGTCTTATAAGTTAGATCTCTAATCTTCTTTTTAAACGATAACCATGATTAGGCCAAACTTAAGTTTAATTTTCTAATAGCTAGGTTCATCTAGTAAGTACATGTTAAATTAGGTCTCGCTGGGGATCGGAGTCTAGAGTTCACTTTTTACCCACAGTGATACGAGGATGAATATCTGACAGCAACTGTCACATGACATGTCAAAGCGGGATTAACCCTTTAAAATTAATGTCAAATGTGTTTTAATCAGAATAATAATTAGAAGCAATTATTAACTTTTTTGACGGTGGCGAAAGCTAAGAGTGTGCTTGAAAGGGCAAATATCCAGCTGATAAGATTGTCCAAGACAAGGGAAAAGCATAATTTGTCTTGTAATGCAAGGGGTGCGCTCTTCTCCTGGGGGCATAACGAAGGCTAATGTTTTTTTTGTGTCATATCAGCTAAGTGTTTCCCCCACACATGTGATTTTCAGTGTACTTAAGGGCTCATCATGTTGGCTATAATTCAGATTCACATGCATGTTTGGGGTTTCAAGCTTTTTGTGTGAAATCATTGCTGTTGCTTCCCCCATCAAAATACTAATGCCCGTTTTTATATGATGTCGTTTGATGTTCAAAACTATAGAGAACATGTCTTTGAATGATTAGATGGATAAATATTCAGAACAAAGAGGGAAAAAATCTGTAAAAAAAATGGGTGTAATAACCAGCATATATATATATATATATATGCTGGCTGGTCAAGAATTCATTTATTAGTCAAGTTATACGTTTCTGTCAAAAAGTAATTCTTTTAGAATAGGCTTTGATGATTTTGCCCTTTTCCATCAGTTAGAGGCTATACCAGGGTGATCCTAGATGCAATATAGTAAGTCTCTTTCATTACCATATATAGACGATTAGGATTTAAATCATGAATACAATGTCCCTATGACACTGACAAATTAAAAAAAGAAAAAAGAAAACCAATATCTAAGTTTGATCTTAATTTGTCTTTCAAGCTCTTACAATAGGAGCTAGTCTCAGAGTGGGTCCAATTAGTAGGTGGAGTACTTGGTCAAGGAAAACCCTTGTAGTTAAAAAGCACTTTAATTTCTATAATTGAGATAATTACTTAGAATTGCAGGCTAACTAAATGGCAACTTGTTTCCAGAAGAGTAGTGGTTTGTCACAGGAAAACAATTGTACTCTTGCGAGGATGATGGAAAATAGTATATATTTGACGTATGGTCAGCCATTCCATTCAATCTGAGCCGATGGATTTTTGTTGCACGTAAAGGAACATTAAACGAAAACATGGTGGGATTGGGGGACAAAAGAAAAATATGAACAAGTAAGTTGAAACTCGAGGATAATGGTCCAGAGAAAATAATTCTAAAACTAGTGCTTGGCTCTTGTCTGATGTTCCCTAAGCATAAGGACCTGGTGATTAGATTGTCTGAATTGGCGAATCATATTTAGGTATGGGGAGCATGTTGATTAACTCTCTACATGTTTCTCATACGTTCACTTTGAAACCAAAACAATTGTTTTTCTTGTCTTTTAAGTTACAACATTTTCTCCACTTAAAGTCACTATTTAGAGATTCCCTTCATTGGTGTTTTATTTTGTTGACTAGCGGATGAACTGTAGCCTAATGATAATCTCATGTTACTGACAAAGAAAAAGGGTAGGATTAGTTTAATGATTCGTATGATTGGCAGTGGAAAGTAAAGGAAGATTGAAATCTGGGAAAAGTAGAAGCATCTGTCGTCTCTGGTTTCTTCTCTCTAACCAATGATGATTTCATGTGGAGAAACTGGAGGAGAAAAGAAGTATCTGCAATTTCTATTTATAGCACGCAAACTGTTTCAAAATGAATAAATTAATTGTAAATTATCAGATCAGCAAACACCAAGTTGCAGCTATCACCCTCTTCAATCCAGAGCCAATGAAGACAAATTTCTGCTCTAATTCACAAATTACCTCTTCCAACCGAGATTGGTGTACTGTGCACATGATGAGCCCAGATAGCTAGGAAAGAATGAACTAACATATCTGAAATTAAGTATCAATAAGAAAGTGCTAACCAGGAATATGAACAAAAAAGGAATTTCCATTCTTCCACCAATGAATGAGAAATGACTATGCTACTGCATAACTACACTAACCCTCCGAAGATTATGATGACAGCTGAGATTTCCACTCAGTCCCATCAACCCTTTTGACAGCTAAACAACAAATTTGAACTTCACAGCATTTCAAGAAAAGCAAAGTAAGAAAGAAAAAGCAGCAACAGAAAAGAAGATAGAAGCAACCATTACAACAATCATACGGACTCAAGAAACCATTCCTCATTTTTCAACAAGAAGATAAAGGGAAAAAAAAAGGACAATTCACCTAAGGGAAATATCCGAAACCTAAAACAGATCTAGAATTTTTCTTGCAGAAGGCTAGATAAAACTCATGTAACACTATAATTTTCTTACCCTTCAAATTAATAATGACCTACAATTATACTAGTAATATTAATCAAAAGCACTTCTTTTAATTACACTTCTATACAAGCAGAGACGATGAAAGCAAGCAGGCCCCTTAAGGCTCGCCGCGGTCACGCCAGCAGACAAGCATTGCAATGCAGCGGCGGAGGATGTAGAATTTGGCTCGCTGCTTCTTAACCAAATGGCTGCACTTTTGACCAAAGGATCTGCAAGGCTCACAGGCGTGCTTGTTACTAATAAACCTTGTGTCGTTTTCTTTGCCTGCCATAAGAATGAGTAAGCTTTTCTTTTCTCTTGCTTGAGCTGCGTCTAGCAGGTGTTGTTACTGGCACTGCTGCTACTAACTATACTAATAGAAGCAGTAAATATGAAAGGTAGAGGTTGAATGAGCTTTGGCGTTATTTATATAGAAAGGAGAGTTTTGAATTGAGGTGTTATGATTTGATTCTGGGTTGGGCTCCTCTAAATAGGGTATGGACTGTAGCCACTGCAACCCACCAGCTGTCAGGGAGGATAGAGCAGAGCAGCATATGAGAGCAAAAAAATATACAGTATAGACCAATGTTCTCCCCCAATTCATCTGAACCGTTACTATATCTCGGGTATTGCACGTGTCTTACCCCACTTTTATAAATCTTTTTATTACTATGCAACGATCATTGAATATGATGATTATGTGTTAAATCATAAGTTTTCAAGTTGAACTTCCATTTCTTGCTAGCAGGCATTTTCTTCATGTTAAATGGAATGTGATAAGAAGTTTGTACTAATGGTAATTAAGGGCTTGGACATGACAAAGAGAGGATTTGCCCCTTGGAGTTATTAGCTTAATTAGTCCTTACTTTAATGATCAGTGCTTGCAAAAGCTGGGATTTATCTTATTGTCTTTGCTTTTTAAGCATTTGAGTTGAAGTCAAGTCAAGCATAACGGGTTTATCTTCATGAAAAGGAAATGTAGAATTTCTTGATTGAGTAAGAATTAAGAAAAGCTGTTCATTTGGTATAACAGAAAGCAAAGAGAACAAGACGAGGCTAAATCCGACTGCAACAAGAGCAAAGCCTCACGCACAATAATATACCCCAAAACAGTAGACAGTGTGGTGATGAGAAGCCTTTTGGGGGCAGAGGTGCAATTGCATCATTCTCCCTAAGAGCCGGGGAGGAGTGGGCAACCCTTTAGAAGTGGTATTTGCTTAACGCGATCAACTGACGAAAAGGAAACCGGGGTTGGGCAACGGCAGAGAGGATGGCTACTTCCTGTCATGCGTTTTCAATGATGCCATAATGGTGAAATGTGTATCTGCTTGTCAACTTAATTAACACTGCCTCCCTCGTAATTCATGACAAGCCTCAGCCAACTGCAGTCAGCAGAATGGTACAGTAATTAATCATGACCTAATAATAAATAATTACAAGAAATTGAATGTTTACTGAAGATAACGAAGAGAAAAAACAGACACATATTCCCTACTGGATATAATTTTCAAACTCGGAGAACTCAGCAAGGCGTGTTTGAGATCCTGATAAGTACAAAAAAATGTATTCCACTTTTGAAAAAGAGAAAAGTAGACTGATTGGTCACTTCAACTTTATAAAGGTAAAAAAAATGCCGTAGAATTTGATCCTGTATGGCGGATTTATACTGTAAAAATGAGAAAAAGGGTAGAAACAAAGGGAGGACAAGCACAGGCCAAAGGCTTGAAAAGCTGGGTAGAAGGCAACAGTTAAGAGAATTGAGGCAATGCAGATAAGGGCTACGGTTACTGCCGTGATGGTTAATGTTTATGATACTGGCATGGCTTGTACCATCTAAACAACGAAGAAAGTCAAGAGTCAGAGATCCTGTATATGGGGCCTGCCATGTGCTTAGCCAGTTTTCAATGAGTCCTTTTGGGTCTTAGGAAAACTTTTTAGTAAATTGATCGGTCGCCATCTTCCGTGATTTACCACTTAAATGTTGTCATCATCATAGCAGTATTTTTTTTAAAAAATTTATTTATTTATTTATTTATTATTATTATTATTATTCTAACCTTTTGCTACAACCATAGGCCTTGTAAAAGAGAGTCTCCAGTTTCTATTTCCTAGTTTTACCACTTTCTTTCTTTTATTACCTCTAAAGACATGTACTTTTGCAATAGATTCATTGACCAGTAAAATCCCAAGCATCCGATGGTGAAAAGATTGGAATCAGATTCGTTTTGGCTTGACTCATTATAGCTCAACACTTTTTTACCATTCAATGGTAATTAATCATTGGTGATCATAATTATGCATTAGGTTGTGAATTTGTGTTCAAGCAATTTTTCAAAGTAAGAAAAACAGAATTCTTTTTACCATGTTTACATGGGGCATGGGATTATAACATTGGATGATCATGATAAATAATAATTGCTAGTACAAAAGTTTACATCCTTAATCATGGGACTAGTTAAATTTATGATGTTAACAAGTCAAATGTCTAAAAGTCCTACAATGAACATTAGTGGTGTACCTAAGACAAACTTACTCTCATAAATTCCTTGTTTCGAAGCAAAATGTAGACTTGACTCGTTTATGGACCGGACCTACTCAAGGTTTTAAAAAAAATAAATAAATAATATAAAGATAAAAGTTTTATTTTAATAATGTACAAGGAGGTAAATTTCACAATTCGTATCTGTGTGTCTTAATTGTGAAGTGTAAATATAAAATATTAATAATTATATATATAAATATAAATATGACATGATTAATTAAATATGTGAAAATTTTAAACATGAATATATATGTGTGCATTAAATGTGCAATATAATACAAAACGCTTCATATATTCATTAAATAGGTTGGATTAAATCTTATATAACACAACACGATTTGTAACCCAAACAATTAACATGATAAACATAATTAAATTGAAATACATATAATTAAAAATAAAATATAACTTCATTATTTCAATTTAAAATTAATAATAAAAAAATTTATAATAAAATAATAATATCCATTAAGTACTGAAATAAAATCCATTCTTATCATTATCAACAGTAATAAAAGCAAGTATTTATATCAGGTTTTAATTGGGTTATAAAAGTATAAGATAAACATGTGATTTACACAATTAATTAAATAGATAATAAACAGATTACAAGTTATAGGGATATTAAATAACATAGTTAATTAAATGTGTTTTAGACGAGTTGAGCGGTTTAACAACACGTCTAGGGTAAACCTACCTAAATTTAATGTAGATGGCTTAACTAAAGTAAATCAAGACCGACATGATGTGGGGAGTGCTCAAAGGATGAAGAAGGAGGTGTAATGGGGTTGTTTTTGGGACCTTTAGGAAGCTCAGAGTCTAACTATACTCACAGCTGATGGCAATCGTAACAACTCTGAAGCTTTTTAGTACATCATGGTGGAGAGAGTCGAGATCTTTGGTGATAGAGTCAGATTCAAAAACGACTATTTCATGGATGAACAATGAGGAGACAAGACCTTGGGCACATTGGAAAATCTTTGTTGAAATCGACAAGTTGAGGGAGACCTTTGGAGGGGTTACGGTCAACTATACCTTCAGAGAAGCAAATGGAGTCGGTGATTCACTGGCAAAAATGGGGATTGGAAGAGAGGAAAATGTTCATAACAATATGGTAAGACTGGGAGCAGAAATTCACCTTCGTTGAGAGGCTGTTTTGAGAAGAGAGCTTCAAGATGTATGTTGATGGTTGTATTCTGTGTTGGAATGTAAAGCTAAGGGTGTACAATGATATGGTGTACCCTCTGTCTGATATGGGATAATACGTGTTGTTAGGTGCCCTGTAAGTATACTTGGTGTAACCATGCATCTCACATGAGTTAGATATGTAGGTTGTTAAAGCTTGATCATTTAATGAAGAGAATCTTTGATCGAGTTAAAAAGAAAAAATTGTGGATGTCTTTTCACCCCAATCCCTTTTCTATCTTATAAGGCAACTATATTTCTTGTGACTGGTCTGTTGTTACCTAGTCAAAACATGAAAATGATTCTCTCAAAGTGTCTTTGCATGCCTGGCTGACACAGACAGTAACTGATTTTATAAAACATTAACTTAATTACCCTTCGCATGTTCTAATAGGAGGTCTTCTTAAGGGAGGGAAATCTCGAGACTGAGATGAGTATATTACCATTTGTTGGCTAAGCCTAATAATTTGTTTCCACTCTTTTATTTGTTTTTCTCTTGGTTACACAACGACCCACCTCCGTCCCCCATTTTATTAACCAAACCTCTCCTTTGATCAGCCATGTTCACTTGCTTACCCAACTCCAAATAAGAAATTTGACAGGGACTTAAACTATCCTTGGTCTGTAATCTTCATATACAACTTTTTAAAAGGCTCCAATTTTTCATTCCTTTTTACGTTATTGTGTTTTTCTCTTTACTTAAGGGAACATTGAAATTTGTTTTTTGAGTAAAGAAATTATACATCAATTATTGAGTTAAAATGCTCAAATACCTCTTTTATTATTACTTAAATGAATATAAAAGAGAAATATATTAGATAATAACCTTGCACTTATTTAAATTTTTATTCCGAGCATGTGTTGGACTCACCACAGACATTGCAAAATTTCTTCAAGCAAGGTCGAATACATGCCGCCTATGATCGGGCAGCCTAACTTTTGATATCAGGCCTAAAAATCCTTTGCCCGACTATACATTTCAAATCTACCTCGGCCCAACTCTTCTTGGGCCAAGGAAGCAACATAAGAAAACCTATACTTGGCCATAATATCAATGAGGGGAGACCAATCTTTGTTTTCTTTGATTTTTGGGTGTGGTTTTTCTTTAATCCATTAAGATTCCCTTTGTTTTTTCTTCACCTTACAAAGATGAGACAAAAGGTTACGTAAATAAGCTTAAAGTATACGTTTGGAGGGTGGAAAATAACAATAAGATGGCCTATGTCTATAGGGCATGATTAAATAAATTCACCTTGGGCTAATGCATCTCAAGAAAAAGAATGGGCTCTTGGGAAATCAGTGAGTGACAATCTCATCTGTTTTCATTGGTTTGGGGCTCGTGTCAGTCATTAATTTTGCTACTGCAGATGTTGGTGCTTCGTCGATGGTCCCAATGTGCTTGCTGGCTCGACCTTTAAAGTTTGATCTTAGGGCTGGTATTTCAAGAAGTTTTTCCAGAACGATTTGTAATCTGGTGTTAGGGCTGCTTCAAGGTTTTGGCAGAGTCAATGTTGGTGACTTCTGGATGTGCGTTGAGCCTCTTTGGGCATGGAACAGTGCTGCGCATGCACTGATTGGTTATGGTACACTTGCCCTGTTGGGTCGTATGCATTCACGTTTGCTTCATACTTGTCTGCCAAAGAGACACGATGGTCTGGAACTTGCATGTTATGGGGCTGATTTTGGCAGGCCTACAATGAGGTTTGATATACTTATTATTGGTCTTCCAAGAAATGGTGGTATGACAAAGATGATGAATAAGGTCTTTATATGATTATTTTTGTCCGGAATCGACTCAAAACTTCCTCTCACAGCTCGATCCAGGGCATGCAAGCTTAATTGTCCCACTAATAACGCAGAGGTACAATTTGGTCTTAAAGGAGGATGTAGATTGCCTTATTTAGGTGCTGACTCCTCTCTTCCACACATACACAAAAATGAACGCTTGCACACTCCTTGAAATTTTCGTGAATCGAAGGGAATCCTCTGTTGTTTTGGCCTATTAATTTCCAATGGTGTACTCATCATGGGAGAAGCAAACAAATTAACCGTTGAGGGGTGAAACATATATAAAAATTGTTAAACATCAATCAATCAATAATGGCAATCGAATCTATTTGTTAAGTGACAAATTGTGTCCAACATATATGATTCAACAAATCAAAATCATGATTGCCTGGCACATGGCCAGAGATTCGAAAGCTGTTTAACTTTGGATTTTATCCAACTAAGTACTTGATAAAGACGTTGGATTAATCTAATATATTCTCTCTAATTAATAATAATAATTATTATAATAATGTATGTATTTTGATATATAAACACAACTTTTTCTTTCACTTCTACTTTTGTACAGTGTATAAAAACAATTCATTTCCCATTAAAAGCACTAACTTTATAACTTATATTAATATTTATAAACTTATTCAAAAAAATCTCTTTTTCCGTTCTTATTTATTTTAATTACTAAAATAAGTTTATTAATACAAAAAACTGTCTCCGTATTGAACAAAAGAATTTGTAAATATGATATTTACAATTATTCTAGGAATCAAAGACTAAACAATTAAGGGTAATTAAAAGAATTCTCCGATGCTTTTAATTAGCTTAGCTTCGGAGCTGAAAAGTCAACTTCTCTAAATGGTATAGGAATACCTACTGGAGACAATACCAAGATTGATTTCCACTTGGCAGCTGATGATTGATGCTTTTAAGAGAAGGCTAAGTCCGTGAAAGAGTAAATTTTTGGTTTTTGTCTGTTGGTAGTAGAGTTGCTTTAACAAAATCTGATCTGCCTAATTCCCCCCACATATACTAAAAACTTTATAAATTAATACTTTTAAGATCATGAAAATTAATTAATTAATTAATAAAAAATTAATTTATAAAAAATTTCTTTTTTTTTTTCAAAACATAAAACTTGACATATCCATGGTGTATTGTGATTATACGAATATTACTTAATTATCAAATAACGAATTAATATTAGTCGTAATGAGTAAATTATTGAGAACGTCATAGTAAATTACAACGAAGATGAAATTGAAGACGATAATTCTATACTGAAACCTATCTTGTGTAAAGATGCACTCAAAGCAACAATCAAATTACGTAATTTTCTCTTACAATATGGTAATACTACAATGGAGCTTCTTAATGTATTAAAAAAAGTTAGAAATGAGGTACAATGAGACAAAAATTTCGAGAAGAAACAAATAACATTGGAGTTATATTTTATAAACACCTTCTAATTGGATCATGTATATATATAATTTTGATGTATAAAAAGATTATTAATTTATATATTAAGTGAAACTAATGTATTTTTTAAAAAATGTCTTATCTTATAAATTTAACAAATTATTAATTTACCACGTTGGTCTCAACTCTTAAGTCGAAATCGATCAAAAATATTATTTAATCAAGATTATTAATTTATTAAATATTAATTTATAGAAGTTTTAATGTATTACAAGTCTTTTGTTTAGAATGCCAAGTGGGGAGAAATCCTAACTTAGAAAAATTCAGCACTAGTTTCTGCGGGGTGAATTGTATGATAAGAGGAAGCTGAGATTAGTGGATACATAGGACTAGTATTTGCAAACACTAGGGTGGCTTGGGGATTCTCATTTTTGATTCTTGCAATCAAGCATTGCTCTTAAAGTGGTCATGGAGATTTGAGAGAAAATCTTTTATGGCCTTTAGAAGAACGTTGTATTAAACTCATTCATTCACTCTCTTTTGGTGTATGACAAGAGTTCTTTGTTCTTTCTCACACAATAAATAGACTTTCCAAACTCAAATCCTTTGAAAAAGAGCTTGAACTTAGAGCCGTCCGACATAGAAGTTTTGATTGAGACCTGTATTTGGAAAGGGACTGTTCCTCCAAAAGTAAGATGTTTGCTGCTAGAAAGCATTGAGAGCATCAATGCTATTCTATCCTAAGGAATCAAGACAAAAATTGTGTGTTTTTTTTGCTGAACCAGAATTGGTTGATCATCTTTTCTTCCTGGCATGTCTGTCTAGTGCAAGCAAATGCAATAGTTGGTCGGAAATTTCTTGAACAATTCCAACTTTGATGCTAGCTCTCTGATTACTAAAGAAACTATAATTAGACACCAATTTGAGAAACTCTTCTTTATGCAATTTTGTTTTCTTTTTGGTTGACCAGGTTTGTGATTTAATTAGTATTCTGCTTGGATTGTAATTAAGGATCAAAAATACCCAAATTTGGATTGTTCGATTTTTCCCAATTCATGACAAATGTACAAGATTTGTCTATTACCTCTCCTCAGAAACCAGTTAGGCAAAATGGTTTAAGGTCTCCCTCTCCTCAAGGGGTGTGAAGTATCAAGATGGATATGGCTCTGATTTATGACACCTTGGCCTGTTGGTATCGGGCGAGTCATTTGAAATTTTGAGGGTCAAGTTTTGCTTATTTTTTCTAAAAGCATTAGAATAGTAGACTCAAACTTTGAAGCTTTCTCCGTTGTTTGAAAGCAAATTTAAATTCACTGACAGATTATAATTGAAAGCGACTCTAAAGTAGTTTTCTCGTGATTAAATCAAGTTTTAGATCAAAACTCACGAAAATACAATTAATTTCTTAACGCGTTATATAATTTATATGTGAATTTAGAAATAATACTTTTTGTTTAATTATATACAAAGAAATCAATCATTTTGTGGACTTTTTGTTAAGATGGGAGTATTCCAAAATATTGATTCTGTGGTTTGAATATTATCCTGTTGTATGCTTTTAATTAATAATATTCTTTAGTTTTAAAAAATATATATTTTAATATTTATGTGTCATAGTAATGTTGTAACTTTGCTGAAATTTGACTGCTTGACTATTTATTCACAAATTCTATGAGTATAATAAATAACAATTTTGTTAACATTTATTTTTTATGAATAGTCAAGTTATTGGATATTTTAACATTTCTTTTGACATTATTGTAAAATTAATAAACAATACTATATATCCATAGCAAAGGGTTTTATATAAATGGCTTTAACTGTTATGCATTTTCTTTTGAATTAATGCTTTATTTATCCAAAAAAAAGAAGGAAATTATATATCATTGCTAACGAAGACCTAGCAAAAAGAGAGGAGACTCCTGCTAGCAACATCTGATCTCACCTCGTTCTCAAACAAAGACCTACCTAGCTAAAAGATGATGCTAACTGGAATTTGCCCCTATGTTGACATGGTCATGAAAGCAAGAAGCAATAAAACTCAAAGAATAAAACGACTTTATGTCATGGAAAAGAACCCCACAATCACAATCCCCTATTAAATTTGATTCATTGGCAATTTCCTTCTTTTTCTCGTGGATGATTGCACACAACAAAGAAAGAAGTTTACCTTTCACCAGTTGTATTGTGTTTGTTGCCCGTCAACTCCAGCCGACCCATTTGTCACCTCATGTGGACGAAAGACTATATATGGTACAACAAGGAGGATTGCCAGATCTCTTTAATCATCAATTATTTAGAGGCAGAGCCCCACCTTGCCCAAAATGAAAATGAAAACACTTCACTTACCACATCAGACTGTACTGTTTGACGCTAGCTGGTGGACCTCCTTCTGTACTACATTCGTTTTACTTTTTAATCAATATAATTCAGTTCACTTTTTTTTAAGAAAAAAAAAACACATAATATTTGCATTAATTCACTCTCATATGTCAATGTTTTTCCGTCAAAATATTCATTTTTATTCTTCAAAATAAACTATATATATATATATATATAACTTTCAACATAAATATGAGAATGCCCTATATATATATATATTGACCCTTTAAAGATAATGGAAAATTTAAGATGA